GAATATTACGTATCATTTAAATATGGCTGTGCGAACTGTATAAATGAGCTTATGTCAACAGCAACTTTTGATGTAATATCTATTTAACTTGAACTCATATCAATTGCTGTTCTAACCATAGATAATGTGATTCTAGCAACCATAACAGTTTTCTCCGTGCACGCTAACGCATCCGCAAGTTCTCGCGCAAGCGCTAGAATGACGTTCTCGTCTATGGCACAGAAATTTCGCCGTCGGCGATGTTCCGCCAGCCAAACGATTCTTCTACCTCTCGAAAAAAAAACTTCTCCGCATAGCTGGCCTCGTATAGCGCAGCTGTGTTGAAATTATGTCGGTTTCTTACTTGTCGATCGACGAAAAAAAAAAAAAAATTAAAAATTACACGCGCACAAATCTGTTAAAGTTTACCGTAATTTAATAGAACGGCCCGAATAATGAAAATGCATAATAAAAGTGTATTAGCGTTTTTTTTTTTGTTCGAAAAGTCGCACATTAATTCTCTCGCTGCGACGAAGTCTAATGGCACGCATTTTGTAGAAAATATAAAAGTTGTCGAAACATTAAATTTTATTGCATTAAAAATTATATGAATACTGATAATAAATATCAGGTGTATTAAGTCATTAGGCAGGAAAGTTGACAAATAAATAAATATATACACACATATATTTACATACAAAAATATAATACATATATTTGTCAAGTTTCGTACTTAATGATCCAATATGTAGTCTGCAGAGGTGTCTCTGAAGCCATTTGAGCGATATCGATTGAACGCCGGAAGGTGCTAATAGCTCAGATGACAAGATTGAGTTAAGCTCCAATAGACACCAACAGCATATTCTGAACAAACTTTCAAAACGCTTATAGAAGCGTTATAACAATAAAAGGATTAATTGTGTGATATACAGTACAGATAATATTAACAAAGAACGATTATACGCGTACGTGTACAATGCTACAAGTTGTACGCGTACACAACAGTATCATCGCACAAAGAATACACACCGGTTTCTAATAATAATCTTATTACCGTCAATGCTCGAAATATTCAAGTATTCCGTTACAGTTATCTAGTCTGCGCTCGCGTTTGCGATACACACACACACAGAGAGATATCTATATTTACTTCGCTGCAATTTAGGGTGTAGTGGGCGCGCTAATATTTCGACAGGCTGTTACTTCGCTTCCGACATTTCCGATAATCCTAAATTCATTGCGAAATAATTGACGGCCGATCCGACAGAAATGTAATTTACATCCGTACTCGGTTATCGGCGCAACGTTAATTGATGCGCAACATTCGTTATGAAAACAATAACTCGAAAGATGTAACAGTTTGTTTTTTTTTTCTTGTTTTTGTTTTTTTCTGCGTTTTCCGTGCCCATTAATGAAGTTTCTCGCGAATATAATTGCGTTCCCTCGTGCGCGTTCCCGATGGCGCGTCATGCAAACCGACATTCGGCACTGTGTTTTGCGTTTGACAATGCCGAAATGGAAACGAGAGAGCTGTTCAGCGCGCGCATTTCCGTCTTACGCGGAACAATAACCGCTTTTATCGAGAGATAGCGTGTCTTCAGCAGAAGATACCGCATCGTCACGGAATTCTCCCGACCGCACATGCATGCCGTTATATAAACTATTAACGGATTATGTGTGGCACCAATCTCGGGAGCAAATCGCTTAGTTAATACGAAATAAAGTGACGAAATAGAACGTTAAACGAGGACACAACGAATAGACGGAGAACAAAACGGGGAAGAGAACAAAAAAACGAACGCGCAGACGATGAAGTTCGAAAATCCCGTTCCAAAATTTGCGACCGAGATTTTCGCAAACTTTTGTAGAAGTTAGGAACAGGAAACGAGAAAGTGAGAGAGAAAGACAAAGAGATCGACATGTGTGAACGGAGAAAACATTTATCATTTATTTCACATTTGCGTACAGCTCGTTCAATTACACGGGGGATATTTTGCATACTACACGCGCGTCGTGCATATGGAAACATTCGTAAACTTCATTATCATTATGATGAAATATTCGAATAATTCTCTTATCTAATCAGCCGCGCGCGACACGACGCGCGTAATGCGAAACATGTCGCACACGACGGTATTACGAGATAATAAGAGGAAACGGTCGCGGATGTTATTATCGTGTCTCGGATTTACATACCGTCGTATCCGGGATTTATATTCGGTCCTAATCTAAACTTCATAGAGATTCATCCTGCGTCTCATGAGAGATTAGGCTCCGCCGCGGGCGACACATATGTTTAAAACCGCGCCGGTTTCCGCGCGCAAAAGCTAACCGCGCATATACACGCACCGCGTGAATATTCAATCAAACATGATTTCATGAACATTTATCAAGGGAATATATGTTTCGAAGTTTTTTTTTTTTTGTTTTTTTTGTTTGTTCACAGCGCGCGACTCTCCGCTGTTTTCATCGAGTCAAGACCTGGGATTGTGACAAACGGAATACGAAACACAACGACGAGTATCACGGTTGCTAGTTCCGGGAGCGGAGTTGGGGGATCCATGGCAAATGACATGTGTATGTGTAACACGGCCACCGAAATGGGAATTCCAAGCTAAAACATGAAGTTGTGTAAAAGTACGACGTGCGCGCATATACGCGGGACACGCTCACTCGTGCAGATAAATCTTATTTTACGATGAGAAGCAGATTAAACAAAATTTTCTTATTCTCTCTCACACACACACACACACACACACGTTTTTCCTGAACAACGGTGTGTGTTGTTGCAATTGTCGCGAGAGGCGCGTTCTTCGCACACGTCGCGATTTTAAAATTATAACACGATCAAAATAACGACATTGTTAATAATCAAAATAGTGACAGTTTTTACAACACATATATGATGATAAGTTTTTTTTAATAAATTTTTAACGATAAATCCTCTTTCTGACGGTTCTTTCTATTTAATAATAGCGCTATTTTGATTTATACTGCAATCGTGCGGAACTGCGACAGGTTTTGAAATATTTTACACTCGTTTAGCAATGTTACGAGAACAGTTGGTCGCACACACCTTCGTCGCGCTAAAAGGTCGGCCGACCGATTCGAAATTGTCGATACGATCTTTATGGCGATCGACATTGTGTTACCATAACTCATTCCGCGTTGGTGTGGTACGTATGCGCATGTGTGTATGCATGTGTGTATGTGTATGTGCGCGGACAGGCAAGCTGGAAATTTGAAACGTGTTGTTATTACTTGGGCGTGTGTCATCGCGGTGCGCGAGATATACACGTAAATGCGATTTACATGTGTGATCTGTAAATCGATTTCGCAAATTCTGTCGATGTTTTGACCTGCTCGTGTTATACATTTGAAAATTACTTTTTTTAAAGCGATTTTTGCTTATTTTTCCGCATTCCCATTGCATTTTTTTACGTTTGATTTTTTTTTTTTCAATAAATTATTTGCTTCGCACGTTTTATCGTCACGTACGCACACAACCGCGCGAGAACAACGATCTCTTGTTCGTAATGTACACGTACCTGTGTGCGTGCCAGATGCCGTGAGATGAGTCAGACGGTAGATCGTCAGAAGTCGAAAAAGCCACGTGACACTACACATGACTGACGCGGCGCGTGGCTGCTCTTCGCTGCCTTATCTATTCCCGCTGTTGCGGCCTGCGTACCACGGCCGCATTCGATATCTGAAACACAAGTGTAGAAAATCGGGGGATAAGTAGTCGAGCTCGTTTACGGCCGGACTCATCCTTAAAATTAATAACGGGCGTGCAAAAGCACCGAGTTTGAATCTCGGATAAAATCGAATCGATACTCGATCGCGCGAGAAGAGTACTAAGTACTGCAGTTTGTCAAGTTTAATTGTCGATCAAATTACGAATTGTCGCGAGACGTGACAATAACCGTTCATAACTTCTGTACTTATTATCAGAGAAAGATTATTACGCGTCAACAGCATCAACGTGCCGTTCTCAATAACGCGCTTAAAGCAAGTACATAAAATCAAACAAACAAAAAAAACTGTGACGCACAAATAATTAAGATATTCTCGTTGCTATAAAGCAGCGAATATCTCGCGCGGGGAGGAGTAGGGATGCTTCCTCGGAGCCGAGAAATAACGAGAAAGAAGAAAGCCGCATACGATGCACGGCGTTGCCATAACGTAATTAACTCGTTTTATACCGGCGCTCGTAAGTCGGCCGACTGCCGCGCTAATATGAAAGTATCGTCGTCTCTACGGGTATTAACTTCTAAACTTTCCCACGGGCAGAGAACGTGCGAGGATTTTAATTAAAGTATAATTAAACACCGTAGAAGTAATTGAATGAAACAAGTAATTCCCCGTATTCTCTCTCTCTCTCTCTCTCTTCTTCCTTGTTTTTAGTATGAATTATTATTATATATATTATATTCCCCGACTTGATACTTCAGTTTTTTACAATCGCGTTTAAGGTTGTATTCAGGGTAAGATAAAAGATATGCCAGATTATTCGAAATTTGCCAGTCAGTAGATAATATTAAAAAAAGAAATTATGCAAAATTTCAGCTTCTTTGCGAGCCTTGTTAAAAAGTTAGTACGATTTTAATTTAACACG